GGCCTCACGCTACTTCCATCGATAGGATGCGCATAAATCGAATTAATCTTCCACTAAAACATGGAAATATACACTGCCTGGTTGAATGTGCCCGACACCTGCCGGACAACACTTTCTGCAATTGACAACGCGCCTCGAAACTAACCCGCAGCGAAAAGGGACCCCGTTCATAAAGCCGCGCTAACACCAACTGTACCAAGCGCCCCCGAAAAAAAAATGTACGAACGTGCGGGCCCACCAGTCCAAAAAAAAGGGAACGTATGAAACGGGGCACTAAGTTTGTCCCATCCAACTGACGTGTGGGCCTCATTTTCCCTGGGCCCAGGGGAAGCGGCTTACAGGGCCCTATCCTTCCTTTAATAGTTATATAGAAGATAGATAGAAGGAGAAGTCGGGGGAGTAACATGAGTTTGGAGATGATGGCAAGATGAAGGGGGATTGACATTGGTCTTTGCGGGTGTTCATCATCTTCTTCTCCCCCATTCTTATTTCTTCTTCTTCCTTTCTCTATTTCTCTTTCCATGTTCTCTCATTTCAGTTGCAATTGAATGACGTTGTCTTAAGTTATTGCACTGCAAGATAGCCAAGATCATAGCAAAACAAAAAAAAAAAGGAAGGATCTGGCTGCGAGCATATTCTGCAAAAGTTGAGCTATTCGTATGTGCCTTTCAAGTTGTTTTGAGAATCACCCAACAAGTATATCGTGGCAACAACGTTGCAGATGACATGTCATATTGACACTCGATCATTCTGGTGTGCATCATGCAGGAGCTGTTGTTGCCCCTCTTTGCCATATTTCGCTGGCTGCATTCCCTTACGGAGTGGCATGAACCTAGCAAGTCGTTTGTGTTCTTGTTCACAGTGATATACATCATCGCCAGGTGCGTGCTTTTCATTCTTCATGATTGGTTAGCAAGTGATTATCGTGGTTTGCAGTGACGCACACCCTCTGCAGATGTGTGCTTTGTTTTTCTTTCCGATACTCCTAAACGAATAGTGGGTCTCGTGTGACTGTCCCACGTAAGACCTCTTCACTGTTGGGAAAAAATTGCTCCGGGCCCAAAGCACGGGTGGGGCTCGCGTCGTTTTGTGTGTGTTTTTTTTTGTTTTTTTTTCCCTGGTGTTCGTTTCGTTTTGTTTTTTTCCCTGTGCTTTTGGTGTGGGGCTTGCGTCTTTTTTTTTTTTTTTTTTTCTCAATATCAGGAAGACGCAGCGACGACTGCCAGGAGGGGGCGGGCCCAAATCACGTGGCGCTCGATTGACTGGAAAAGAACACGGCCGCGCGCTGTCAGAGGACTGACGAGGAGGGAGGAGGGAGGAGGGAGGAGGGAGGAGGGCAACGATGATGGAGGGAGGAGGGTAGTGGAGGATGGAATCGAGGGGAAAAAGTGGTCGGGCGCTATCGACAATGGCATAAATTTGAAGCCAAGGTGTGTGGATCATGCACATGGACTCGCATCTCATAAAATGACACCGAGTAGACCAGACCAGATTAGATAGAGTAGAAAGAAGATAAAAGTTCATGAAACACATGGATCACAGATCAAACAGGCGACACAACCATGATCACAAACGGACTTGTGATTTCCCCCGTGCAAGGACTGGGAAATGGTTTCACCCAGTAGACCCGACATTTGCACACACACAGAGATTCGATCCCTAGACCTGTGCCCAAACCCTGTACATTGACCCTGTGTGCTGAGTGAGATTCGATCCCTAGGCCTACCCTTTACCCTGTACATAGGCCCAGCGATCTGTGTAAGACTCGATCCCAAGGTCTGTAGATTAGGAGTTAGGTCTGTTACCGTTAGGCTTAGGAAGGTCTGTTCTAGAAGTCTCTATCTGAGTCTACTGAGGCTTAGAGTCTGTTTGTAAGTCTGTAGGCTCTAGAAGGTCGTAGGTCCCTGTAGGCCAGGCCAGTCAGCAAGTACCAGGTGTAGGGGCTGCACGTGGGGAAGGTTCTGGAGCACGCTGTGGGTTTCACACGTTTTGGCCCAGAAGGCCAAACGTCTGGAAACTTCCCTGGGCTACACGTTTTGGCCCAGGCCCACACGTTTTGAGGCAGGCCCGGGTACCTCCAAAGAGGTATAAATGAAGAGGCAGCATTTAGCCATTCATTCATACGCCTGTGTGCCATGCAGAAGAGCTGCCTTGGTATCTTGTGCGTGGAGGACTGCAGGTGCCCGGAGAAGAAGTGGCCTGTGAAGAAGAGAGCGGCCATAGCGAACCAGTGAGGTAGACACCGACGGCCATAGCTCGGAGGAGGAAGACGCCGGCGGCCATAGCTGCCCAGCTGTTGGTGTAGACAGGGTGTACAGAGAGTGTGTGTGTGTGTACAGCGTGCACATTCAGGGTGATCTCGTAATTGCGTAGAAGTGAGGGAGAGTGAGGCTGGTGGTAGAGACAGTGTTTGGCGGCCATAGACGCAAGTTGTACAGTTGATTCAGACTGAGTTTAATACAAGTTCATTGTTGTTCTGAGTGGGAGGAGTTCGGTTTTGCCATCAGTTCTCAAGTGTGCATGTTGTGAGCAAGTCCAGAGTCGAGTCTGATTGCATTGGTATTGGAGCTGGTACCCATTGTCCACGCTGGCAGAGCTGCAGCAGCAAGTTGGAAGAAGGAAGAAGCCGCCATAGCCGGAGCTTGGCAGAGAGAGAGAGAGAGAGGAAGAGAGAGAAGGGGGGACGGCAGCCATAGCTGCCACGCTCGGGAAAGGAGACGACCAGCAAGAAGAAAGAGATAGATGCAGAGAGAAGGAAGAAGAAAGTGACGAAGAGGCTGACGAAGTCAGCCATAGCTGAGGTGAAGAAGACGAAGGTTTTGACGAAGAAGGTCTGCCATAGCCGGGAGGTTGAAAGGTTGACCAGGGGAGTCGACCAACGTTGACCCAGAGTTGACCAAGAGTTGACCAAGAGCGTTGAGCAGGCGTTGACCAGGAGCATTGACTGGCGAGTTGACCAAGACTGTTGACCGGAGCGTCGACCCAGCTGGAGCGAGAAGACTACCGGTACCACCCTTTCAAGCCCTGTCCTATCCCCTTACCCCGTGGGTGTGCACCTTCACCTTGGTACCTGCTGACGCCAAGTCTGTCAAGTTCAGTCAGTCATATCTCCCTGCCAGTCTTGTTTAGGTCGGTAGGACTCTGTGATTGTGGTCATAGAACCGTAAGTCTAGCCCGAGCAGTGAGTCAAGACCCCTCGATAGAAGTTAACCTGTTCGGTTTACGTGTTGAGGCGCGGAATCGTTGCTGATTGTGCACTATCACCATGGTGACCCGCAGGTCAGGAACTAGTACCACCCCCTACAGCAAGGAGCAGGAGGAGAAAGCTGCCGCCATTCTACGAGAAAAGAAGAAAAGGATGGAGAAGAGGGAGTTAATCAAGCAGACCAAGATGCTGGCCTTGCTAGAGGAGCAAGAGGCAAAGAAGAAGCAGATGGAGGAGTTGAAGAAGGATCAGGAGGAGAAGATGGCGGCTATACAAGAGGAGGTGGAGAAAGAAGAAGAAGAAGAAGTAGAGGAAGAGGAGCCATTGGAGAGGAGAGGGGAAGCTAGCACAATCAAAGAAATTGAGATTGCAAGGATTGCACAAGAGTGGGCAGGGAGGCCGAAATGGTCGTACCCCAGGAAGAGAGAGAAGCAGCAAGGAGGCAGATTGAGACAGAAAGGGACCCGGTGAAGAGAAAGGCGAAGGAGGAAGAACAGCAAATGGCATGGAGATACGGGCTGTCCCAAGAGAGGGTAAGACGATTGGAAGCGGCGGAAAGGGCAGAGAAGGATCTGAAAGCGGCGGAGACCAGGATGGGGAAAATCGGGGAAGAGATGGAGATAGCCACCAAGCTCAATACCCCGACTCAAAGTGTAGAATCTTTACTAATTGCACACCATGAACAAGTGCAATATACCCGCAGCTTGGAAGTAAAGATAGATGCACCGGGTTCAAAGATTTTGCGAGTGACATGATGAAATACTTATTGGCCGAAGTCCATAATGCAATTAGTAAGACCCGAGAGTTCTGCACTGGCGCTATTGAAGGTTTAAGATAGCGACTCCTAAATCGTGAGAAAGTCAAGGTTCGTTTTACCGAACCCTTCCGTGGAAAGAAGGGTGAGGATTTCGATAACTGGGAGGCCAACGTGCACTCCTACTTGTACTTACAGGGAGTCACGCCTGAGGACCACGTTTTGGTGGCCTTCCAGGCCCTTCGAGACGAGGCGACCAGCTTTGCTAGGTCGCTAGCCTGCGCTGCGAACTGTGATAACGATATGGTTACGTATTCGAGACTGACACCTCTCTCTGAGTTCCTAAAATCACTCAGGGAGCGATTCTCAGATGTGACGCGGGGGCTCAAAGCCTCCGACAAACTCCAAATGATACACACTCGCCAGTGGAAGAGCGTGCACGCCCTCAAGTCCGCCATGGACGAACTGATTGCAGTCCCTGGGCATGGAGTAACCGATGCCCAACTTCTTAACCTCTTCTATCGTGCCCTCCCTGAGAACATTCAGGGACATTTCTTCGAGAAGAAAAACCAGCAGGGCATGACTTACGATACTCTTAGTTGGGAGGCAGTTGCATTTGCCGCCCAAGCATCGCCAGTTACCCCGTTCTAGCACAAAGATCTGTCAAAGGGAAAAACGTGGAAGGGACGCACCATCTCGACCCAAATTAAGGCCAAAGATAGTCTGATATTAACAATGGAGGAAGGTGGTGCCGACGAGGTTCCCTACTCTAACATCGAGTGGGGACTGGAGGAGGAGGAGAACAGCGGAGCAGGCTAGGCGAGAACCTATGCTACTGTCGCGGCCGGAGGGAGGGCGCAAGGAGGAGGACAACGGTTCGGCAGGAATGGTCGGGCCACAAGTGGCCGAGGACAGGGCGGCCAGGGGGTTGGCGACAACGGCAACCGCCAAGAGGGAGGAAGGGGAGGTCCCCCGTCTAACCGTCCGCGTTTTAGTCGGTCACCCCCCAGACAGGGAAGGTGGCACCCAGGCCGACCTTGGTTAGATCTGGGTATAGATCAAAGAGTATGGCAAGAACGCATTAACAGTTCTCAATGTCTATTCTGCGGGGACGCAGGCCACATTATCAAATTTTGTCCTAAGGACCGTGCTGCATTTGGGGCAGCAAAAGATAGCCGTCGGTAGGGGTCGCAACTGCCCCTACCCCAGGAGTATGTGGATCTGAGCGTGCGAGCGAAGTAGAGACTCCCACACCACATATCTCCATGGTAGAGGTTGCAGGCCAGCGTCTAGTAAGGTGTCTAGCGACTGCTTGTGTTAGGGTCTCTCTAGATGCTTCCCTCACAGGCTTAGTCAAGGAGTTAAGGGAGAGGAGGCAAGCCTGGGCCAAGATGAAGAAGGATAGTGAAGGACAGCTGATCCTCGCAGATATAGAGATATTTAGAGCTAGAGTAGGAGCCGTGAGAGACAGTGGGGCGACTAGGAGTTATATTAGTCGTCGAGCGCTGAAGAAGTTGAAGCTAAATCTAAAAGTCCAGCGATTAGAGGAACCTATAGTCAACATCCTTGCAGACAATAGCAGGATGCGCGTTGAAGAGTATGTTGAGGGGTCCACGCCTACTTTCGCCTAGAGAAGGATGAGAAGGTAGAGAAGGTACTGCACTCCTTGACCCTCCTCGTAGACGAGAGTCTCCTGTTTGACATTGTTCTAGGCACAGACAAGGGAGAGTGTAGCGGGAGCCGCACTTCACCTTAGAGAGCACGAGTGCGGGCTCCCTAGTGCGTCAGGCGAAGTTAAGCAAGTCCGCCTGTTCCATGAGTCCGAGGTAGATAATCCCCTTGCCCATTGCTGCCTCAGCGCTCCTGCATTCAACAGACTCGTGCGAAAGGAGCACCTCGAAGAGCAGGTGTTTGTAGCCTAT